TCTAGTCTGTAGTCTCTCTGAATTATGCAACGTAAGTGCCTGCTCTCAGTAACACTAATAAGGTCAGGACTCGTTGACATGTTAACCCCATAAACCATTGCTGCTTTTAAGGTCTTTGATCACGCGCCCCCCTGGCCGTCGGGAAGAAGACTGAAGATGGCAGTTTTCAGAGCTTCCTGCGTGCGTCATCTATGATTCACCAGGGCCAAATAAACTCAAATTACAGAAGAAACGATACCAGGAGTGTAACCTTAGAAAGATAGGTGTAGAATAGCCTTTAACCAGAACAAACACATTTCAGAGCTTAATACAGACACGCAGTATTCTTTATGTTCTGTTCCCAAAACAGGAGCTAGTTTTGTACGCTTGATCAGAGCCGGTGTTTTAGACCTATCCGCATGTACCTGTTCCTGTTAAGTTATGAATGGCCACACTGTTTTCCCGCATGAAGGTTACGAGTTGTAAATGAAGCAGCTGCGTACAGCCACCTGCCTGCGTGGCCCAAATCGTCATTGTCACTTGGGAAAAGAATGTAAAAAATGACATGACACTTACAATATTTTTTTGCTAAGATCAAAGGACCATAATGTGTTTGCAAATACATACATGAACAAGGACAGTTTTGTCCGAGACATATTTTAGATAAACAAACAGGAATAATATAAACAATTCAGGTTTAAGCTGCTTCGAAGTCAAATTAAAATCGTTGATCAGTCTTTTGCTATAAAATGACTTTATAAGTGTTAATTTAGTAACAAGTTCTCGCCTCTAAAAATCCTGGGAATTCAACACAATTCACAATACTACTTTACATTTATCCTCTCTACCTAAAACTTATACAGCTCCCTCCGTTATGATGACTCCTGCTATAGACTATAACGGACATGGTATTTCTGCTACAAATAATTAAAGGAGACGATGAACCTCCAGGCAGTTCTCCTCGAACCAGGGTTTATATAACGGATTAAAGAAATGTTATACTTAGGATCATAATGGAAGAAAATACGTGAAGCGCGACGTCGGCGCAACAGATTAATTTAAAAGATTACTGGAGCAGAAATATAAAAAATGTTCACAGTTGAAATGTACACTATGGTTGCATGGATGGCAGGGTGGGTGGTTGTAGTGTGGTGTGTGTGTGGTGTGTGATGCTGTGTGTGTGGCATAGCAGAATAACGGATGTGGTATGAGTGGGCAGAATGTCAGTGAGAGAGATTTAAAAAAAATAATAAAAAATGCGTGTGTATGAGCAGTGGGTGAGGGTGTGCGGTGAGAGTGTTGTGTGTGTGTCGTGTGCGTGTGTTTGCTCCTCACGCCTGGGGATCATAGCCAGTTAGGATCGCTCGCAGCATTCTAGTGCCCAAGCGTCCCCCGCGGCACATGTGTATGTGTGTGGTGTGCTGTGTGTGGTAGGTTCAGTAGACTTGGGCTGCCAGAGTGAATGGGCTCATTAGGCGGTGACAGAGTAACACATTGCCTGGGGCCACACAGTAAGCACCAGCACACACACACACACACACAGTCACACTCCAGACTTGCATACTAATGCCATCAGACTGTGAACACAACGAGCCTCATTTATAAAAGATTCTTATATTCTTATGCACCAGTCTTGAGCTTTTACAACAAGCAAAAGATGAACTTATGAAAAATTGATCTCGCCGCCCAAAAAAAAAAGAGAAAGAAATTAGATGTTTACATGAGTTCTCTACAATGTTGTGTGATGTTACAAATTTTTTCTAATGATTAATTAGGTGACATGTTCCCCTCAAGATGTTACAGGGAGACAATAATGTATCACAATGTGTAAGAATAAAACTGCAACAACTGACTCTTTCTACATCCCGTTCCTTTTGGGTCAACTTTCTCCTTTAGGCTACTTAGATATGCTAACTTATGTGTAAGGCTCATCACTGTAGAAAAGACAACCATGGTTCTACATAAAAGTGACATTTATAGTCATATCTTACTAGGTGAGGTTTTGATAGCAATATCTATCAGATATAGGTTGGCTAGCTAGTTAAATGTAATTAGTTGGCATTTCACTAACATTAGCTATCAGATGTAATTACCTAGCTAATGATTAATGAAGATTAGCAAGCTAGTTTTTTGCTCTTTAGCAAAATAGTAGCTAACTAACCAGCTAACTAGCAGTTACCGATTGATGTAAAGTAGCTAGAGAGTTGGCTTTTGTTTTGCTAACATACATTAAGATACATATGTCAGTCTTTTTAACCATATTCAAATGTTGGTTGTCTTTTCAAAACAGAGAGGCTAGTACAAAGCATATCTAAGTACAGGAAACATAAAAGTTGACAAAGGTTCTGACTGAGGCTTGCTCAAATGTTATTGGAGCACAGCGCAAAAATGGACAGGACAATTAGTCAATTAACCAATTAGTGGTCAACTATTAAATCAATCACCAACTATTTTGATAATCAGTTTATTGTTTTGATTCATTGTTTTAAATGTCCAAATCCTCTGATTTCAGCTTCTCAAATGTGACTATTTTCTGGTTTCTTTAGTCCTTTATGACAGTAAACTGAAAATCAACACTTTTCACAACCAAACAACTCATCAAGAAACTGATTATTCAATCATAAAAATTAAGGTTAAGCTATTTACAGCACCCTTCAACCATGCTCTACACCTGTATTAACATCACAGTATGAATTCTCGCTAATAAAGTGGAGACATTGCAACCAATAAGACTCAACTCTTCCGACATGCACATTAGCTCCGGTGCTGGAGTGATTGACAAGGAAAGACTCTTCTGCCTCACATTACACTGAAGCTGCTTTCATTGACACTGACATTATTCAATATTTTCTGCTCTGTTCACCATCAATTCAAGTCTAAATTGTTACATTTTGATTTGCAAATTTAGTTGTGTCAACCCTCGACTTAAAATCTTGTGAATTGAACTTTTGGGTGCGTTCTACCTATAAAATGCCTCATATTTTATAAAAGGGTTGTTTTTGTATATTAAAATGTCATCTGCATGGTAACTTGTTACTATATCTGTCGAATAACTACAATAGACTAAAAATAGAAATACTTTTAGCATAAAATGGACATAATTAAGTACAAGTACCTCAAAATTACACGCAAGTAAAGCAAATTATCTCAAACCAAGAACATTTCCAAGCAAGTTTAATATAAGAAATCCAGTACTACAGCCAGGGTAAATCTTTTTATTTCAACTACACGCCACCTTGATATTCAGCCATATGTTCACCATATGCTCTCTGTTTTGGATGAACTTCAAATGTTAAATTTGTGCTAATCCATAATGAGACTACATTGGATAAAAACAGGGCAAAGGAAACCTTACTCAGTGACCTTCTATCACACAGTATGTATATACAGTATGTATCATGACACACAGGGCTTTTATGTTTCATCCTTTGAACCCGTTATCCCAGGTGAGCGTGCAGAAAACCCTGTTCAGACGTGGAAAGATTTATGCACTAACCTACAAATAAAGTGAGTATAGAGGACATCTGCTGCCTAATTCCAAATGGTACAGAGTTGAGTGTGTGAGTGCGGGCTGGTGACTGGGGTTATCAAGTGGGCACCTGCCATCACAGATGCTTCAGCAAATTAGAGCCACTACACCTCCAGAAAGCTTAATAGTGGGTTGAATTGGCAATAACCTTCAAACAGTACTAATCCCAGAAAGAATCTAAAACACGCATCTAGTGAAGCAAGCCTCTTCATATTTTAGTAAACTGAGGGTTGTGTCAGTGACCGTTACACAGTCACAGTGACGTCTTTGACCTTAAAAAGTGCTTCCAACAACAACTACAGAAAAAAAAAAAGGACAGATAATCATCCGGCACTGACCACGGCTGCCTCAAATGTATGTTTTCGGGGCAAAGAGCATTTATTTATAGCTTGGTTGTTTGGTTGATACTGAAAGTAAATGCACTGTTTTGACTTTATACACTGTCTCAAAGACATACTGGCCACCAGGCAATAAAGAGGGATGGTGTTTTAGCTAAATGTCCCAATGCAGACTGCACCTGTTCACTCAAAACAAGTACCACCACGTATAAAGAGCTAGTATATAAAATACGACTATCTTTGCTCCGTTTTGTTGTATCATGATAGATAAATAATTCACAGGATTACAACACAGAGTCTTTGTCTTACCTCAGAGCTGTGCCTCTGGCTTTGGGCTTGTCAGACACCTGTTAATACACATACACAGAAACCACACATTAATATATGCAGTTCAAATTCTGACTACAGTCTTATTGTTGCTATGTTTGGAATGAAAGGTCATATATCAAAGATTGTAATATAATGAATATGTCTCTGACATGGGTATGACCAACATGATGAGGCTGTGCAATAAATCCACATTAGACATTGAAGATGAACGATAAAGATCTGCCATTATTGACCCTCTAATAGTTTAATTAAATGAAATGTGTAAATCTTATGACAGTTCACCATATCAGTTCATTGATCAACATATTAATATGAAAGGATTACATACATTAAAAACATATACGTACATATAACATATGAATAGATTCAATTGTCAAACACACAATAGGATGTGTGTAAGTAGCAGCAAAAAGAACATTTGTTAGTTAATTGTGTAAAATGTGCAGCATTAATAGCCTTTTTCAAAAAATGCATTATTTCAGTACCATATTCTAGATATTTAATAACACTGCAGATGAGACAAATTACTGCAATTATCAATACAAGTGTGTTAAAGTGTTAAACATGTAAACTGTAAAAGTTTATTATGGAGCTATTCACTTGGGTCTGATTATTAAGGGCCACAGTGAGGAGAAAAAGTCTGACATTTTAAGCATTTAATCATAATAATATGATTTTTTTTAAGTTGGAATATTTTGAGAATAAATGTGTAACTTCTTACAGAAAAATGTTGAATATTGAGAATAAAGTCACAATTAAAAAAATGTCTTAAAATTTGAAGAGAAAAGTATTTTTTGATAAACAAAATAGATTATAGCATTTAAAGAATATTTGTGTTGTGTTATTGCCACTGTTATTGAAAGAGTTTTTGAGAATGAAGTTGTCATTGTTAAAATAGTCACTATATATTAACACACATATATATACATATAGACACACGTATATATTACAAAGTTGGCCACCATTGAGTGCTTGGGCCCCCACAGAATAAAGCATTTTAACAGTATGTTTAGATTTTGGGGGGTCTTAGGAATAACATAATAAATAATATGTTTACGGTCTGACTAACTACTTTGACAATTAACAAGAATAATAATGACATAATATATTTTTTACTTTATTTTTTAAACAAAGTACTTGGTACATGGCATAAAAACAGAATCAATCATAGACTGAACTAATTGAAACAACTTGAAGACACTTTCCAGCTTTTTAAACCCCCTCCCTTTTCTTCCCTCAATCTGCTCCCCTGCTCTTCCTCTCTCCTCCAAGAGAAGAAGAGCAGGTCTTCTTGTCATTAAAATAAGAAAAAAAACCTCTCTATTTTCTCCTTATCTTCTCCTCTTTTATCCCCTCCTCCTCCCTATTTTTCCCTGCCCTCTCTCTTCACCCTGTCCTATGTTCGCTCCTTTATGTCTATTCATACTTCCCCTCCCTTCAGTAAAAGAATAGGGTGATTAGGTTTGTCAGTGAAGCCTTTCCTCCCTCCCTTCTCCCCTCTCATCCTCCCTCTGTCAACTCCGAGTCAATTTTGTACATGACTACGTCAATTACAATAACAAAACAAAAAACAGTCAACTCAATTTCTGCAAATATCAACCATTAATTCATCTTCAAGCACCAAAACCCAACAATTAAAATTAATTACTTAAACAAAAACAGGACCTTTTCCTCGCCTCTGGCTCTCTCTCTCAAGGAATAAGGTGATTAACTGGACCAGTGAAGTTTCTGATAGATCGATGCATAGCTGCAGGCTAGAACAACAAACCTCCTCAGATCTTTGGCTTTGGGAGACTTGCAGGGCTCATGGAGAGGATCTATGTGTGAATATATTTAGCTAGCTGGTGGCTTTACTTGGATTTAAATAAAGAAGAATCCAAACAGTATTTATTCACACAATCTCCTCAGTTACAACGCGGCTGTAAGTACTGTTCCCGACAAAGAGGACAAGCTGTTTTACCGAAAACAAGACAATCCAAAACCTTAAAGCTTTAGAGACATAAAGCGGTCTGTATATGATTTATGTTTATTTGTCAAATCCCCCTTCGCCCTTTCTTTCTCATGTGGGTGCACATCAGGCCTGGCGATACAGTTTTAACAAGGCTTTAAACACCCCCGCACCATCTTGAACAGTAACTGAACAATGAATTCTTTGCTTGTCTATACGGTGTCGCTTTACTTTGCGTGAGAGACTTTATAAAGCATTTCTTTTCACCTGAACACCGGGTTCAAAATCCTGGATTTCTGATGCAACTGTTGCGCAGAGGTTGCACTGCTGAAAATATAGCAGCTACTGGATTTTCACTACTGCAAAACAAAGAGACTCTATATCCCGAATTTTAGCATCTCTCTATCGGCTGCCAGTCGGATTTAACACAGCTGAAGACTTTTAAATTCCCTTTGACACCTGACTGTGTAGAGAAATAATATTAGTCTTCAAAACTGTTCATCTTCTAGAGCCAAATTAAACATTAATGCATGATTAGATAAACAATCACTCATCCCTGACTATTTCCTGAGTTAGTGTGACACATGTAATACCGATCATGTGCAGAAGCTCCCAGACAAAATGAACAAATGTTTTCCTTTCTCACATGTCAACCAAGATATGAGATTTCTCTGTTTACTCACCTGCCTTAAAGCCCATGTATTTTCACCCCTTCCAGTAACCTTTTAAACGTATTGATCAATGCCATTCTATACCTAACACACTCTTGTTTGCTGCCGTTTGCTCTGACCGTCTGTTGTGAGTTATCTCTGTTTCGGGGTCGATTAGTACCCTGTGCACTTTGCTTTCTTTTCCAGGATAAACTGAGCTGCATTTATGCAGAAGACTGTGTACTGGTTCCCAACCTGGAGGCCTAGACCTCCACTAGGGGTCGCCAAAGAGGTCACAAGGCTTTTTTGATATTAAGGGATCCTTTCTGTGGAGAAAACTAATTAATTTGTTTATATTTATAACTATTAATCATTTTTTAAAGTTTAGATTATTACTTAAGACAGTGGTTCCCATCCTTTGTCCTTAAGGGACCACTTTTCTATCATGGACTTAACTGCCGACCCCTAAATGACATACCTTTATGGATATTTCATATTATATTGTATATGTATCACAATAACAGTATAGAACAACTGATCAATTGTAAATAGTGAACTCAATAACTGCAGCAGGATTATTTCCTGTAAATATTGATCAGAGATGAGTTTTCATAATATCTTTAGGAACTTTTTATACGGTTCTCTGTCTGTATTTTGTTTTTATTTATTAACTTATTTTTTATTTAATTAACAATCATACATACTTAATATGCTTCTTTTTTTAAACAAATGCAGTTCTTTCTTCTCTCTGATGCTTGTTCTATTAGCTCTTTATAACTGCATATGTTTTTAATGCAGGGCAACGAGATATAGGCCTACTGTGTATATTTATAAAGTTCTCTAACACCCCTTTCAATCAAGAAGGCCTTGCGACCCCCTGTGAAGCTTTCCCAGGTTGGAAACGACGAACTTAAGATATAAAGTAAAAGAAAATCTCACAGGATAAGGTCACAGTGAAGACCTGAATACCTTCACTCTCTGCTAAACAACCTACCTTAGAGCAAATAGAGCAAAGAGAAAAAACTACTGAATTTGTCGCCCATTTTACACAAACTTCCTGCAGTTATTGCATTTACTATTTAGGTTCATTGTACAGTTCTGTTTTTTTGTTTTTTTGTACTGTTATCATTATGCATTGAGTTTAATATGAAATATCTATTCAATGTATGCCACTTAGCCAGGGGTCGTCGGTTAACTCAGTAACAATCTACGTATATAATACAGAGGTCATGCCACTGGACACAATCTGAGCTAGGTTGTGAGACCAAAGCAGAACTGTCATTACCTCAAAAACAATGACATACAAACAATTACACAGATTTTCAGCATCATAGCAGCTTCCTAGTCCAAGCTGGTGATTATACAGACAATAAAGTAAACTGCATGAAAAGCACCACATCAGAATAAGCATAATTATTCCAAATACACGTTTGAGCTTCTTGAATCAAAGTCGTGCTTCATGCAGTGTTTTGACCCTTTTCCTGGTTCCTGTTTTCTCCATCCCCACACGCTTCATTTTTCCCTTATTTAAAAAACATTCTTGCCACTGCACATTTAAACCAACCCAAACTGTGATTTGAGGTCACTCTGTAAGTATATGCTTTAGATGCTTAGTGGTAAGTTGCCATTGAACTGGTGAAAAGGGAAACTCGCTCCCTTCATGACCGTTTTCAGCGGATTCGGGTTCGACATATTTAAATGTACCCTTGACGCTGTTCTGTTTACACTCCAGCAAACACAAAGTGTGCATCCTTAAGAGCTAACAAACAAGCTCAATGTATTTCCTTTTTCATTGTACTCGACAAATCTGAGTTTTTAGATATTTTCTTCAGTTACAACAGCTATTGATCAGGGGAACAGAATAAAACCCTAGGAGAGTGGATCGTATTGCCCAACATACATGAGATAAACAGTGTACCTTTAACTGCAGTGTTAAGTTTGGTGATCCTACATCGAGAAAACAGATAACGCCAGGGTTTCCCACAGTATTTTACAGTAGTGGAGCCAAGTCGCCCCTAAATGAAAAGTTCCTTCACTATAGTCAGAGGAAATTATTAAACTTTTATGAAATATTAGTCTTATTAAGTGTCAGAGCCATGGTGCTACATCACAGAACAAATGTCACATATTTTATGAGTGACACTATTTTTTTAAACCATCATCTAGAAGCTACTTTGATAACGAGATGAGATGCTTCAGGATGATTGATTTGATTGTTCACATCGTAGTGTGTTCGCTCGCGGTGGTGAATCAAAGCAACACGTAGCAATGTGGAAAAATCAGACAAATCTAACAGACATCAGGCTCAAATTAGTTTCATGATCACTGGTTCGAAATAGAGTCTGCATCGAGTAGTTTCAAGTTGGTACAGTCCAGATGGACTTATCAATGGCTGTGATTAGACATGGTTACTTACCGC